CTTGAGCCACAGGCGCCGAGCCCAGAGTCTCATTCTTGCTCGGGCTGGTCTTGAACTCCTGAGCTCAAGTGTTCTCCCCTCTTGGCTTCCCAAACTGCCAGGATTATAGGCATGAGCTAACGTACCTGGCCTGAATTTCCATGCCTTTAAATACCATGTATATCCCATTTACCTCTGAAGTTCTTGAGCACAGACATCTGTCCCAAATAGCTTCTCATTCCATTTGGCTTTTAGCATATCTCAATCAGAATTTAATTCCTTTTTAAGTCTGGATAAGATTCTATGTATATACTACGTTTTGTTTATCCATTTATCTGTTGATGAACATTTAAGTTGTTTCCCCTTCTTCACGCTTAATATTGCTTCTGTGAACATTGATGGACAGAAGTGTCTTTTTGAGCAGTAGTCCCCAACTATTTTGGCACCAGAGACTCATTTCATGGAAGACAATTTTTCCACTGATGGGGATAGTGGTGGTGGGGGTGGGTGGGAGAAAGGATGAAGGGTGGAACAGGAGGCAGAGCTCAGGTGGTAATGCTATGCAGCTTGGTTCCTAATAGGCAACAGACTAGTAACAGTCCGTGGCCTGGGAGTTGGGGACTGCAGTTTTTGAGTATTAGTGAGTTTTCAGATCTTTTGAGTAGATACCTACAAGTGGTCATCTGTAATTTTTCTTTCTTTCTTTTTTTTGAATGGGGGGAGGGGTGAATGGGCAGGAGGAAGAGCTATAATTTTTCTTTTTGGGGGTTCTCTTTTCTTTCTTTCTTTCTTTCTTTCTTTCTTTTTTTTTTTTGACAGAGTCTCACTTTGTCACCCTGGGTAGAGTGCTGTGGCGTCATTGCTCATAGCAGCCTCAAACTCCTGGGCTCTAGCAATTCTCTTGCCTCAGTTTTTCATTTTTAGTAGATAACAGGGTCTCAATCAGGCTGATCTTGAACTTCTGAGCTCAAGCCATCTGCCCACCTTGGCCTCTCAGAGTGCTAGGATTACAAGTATGCCACTGTGCCCAGCAGTGACATAGAATTTTAACATCTTTTATTTGCCTCAGCAGTTAATGAAATATAAAACAGATATGACTATCTTGATAGTAGCTGTTGTGGAATCCTAGAGTGCATGTTGATTTTTAAAAGTATTTATCTTTGACCTGGTGTGGTGGCTTACGCCTGTAATCTCAGCCCTCTGGGAGGTCATGGCAGGCAGATTGCTTGAGCTCAGGAGTTCAAGGCTAGCCTGAGCTAGAGTGAGACCCTTTCTCTAAAAACTTAACCTGGCAGTGTGGCAGGTGCCTGTAATCTCAACTAGTCGGGAAGCTAAGGCAAGAGAATCACTTGAGCCCAAGAGTCTGAGGTTGTTGTGAGCTATGGTGCTACTGCACTCTACCAGGGGCAACAGAGTGAGATTCTGTCTCAAAAAAAAAAAAAAAAGTATTTAAGTTTGTTGTTATTTATCTTGTCAATTTAAGCTTTGATAAGACTGATTTTTTTTTTTTTTGAGACAGAGCCTCAAGCTGTCCCCCTGGGTAGAGTGCCATGGCATTACAGGTCACAGCAACTTCCAACTCCTGGGCTCAAGCGAGTCTCCTACCTCCACCTCCCAAGTAGCTGGGACCACAGGCGCCCGCCACAACACCCGGCTATTTTTTGGTTGCAGCTGTCATTGTTGTTTGGCGGGTCCGGGCTGGGGATTCGAACCCGCCACCTTAGGTGTACGTGGCTGGCGCCTTAGCCGGTTGAGCTATAGGCGCCGAGCCGATAAGACTGATTATTAAGGGTTGGAATAAGAAAGGGAAAAAACTAAGACAGGGATTCTTAACTCTTTTTAATTTAAAATGGTATTATTTGGTTATTTTGTTAACTCTTTCTTCAAAATAATTATTTTTTTCTTCCAAATAATTTTAATTCCTTTGGTTTCTCACATCTGGGAAAAAATTTCTATCTAGGGTTAATTCTGATTTCTGTATAATATGGAAGAGACTTGGGACATAGTACATTTTGGACAGTTAATGACCGCTCAAGGTGATGACAGTTTTAGTATGTAATTTATAATTTTATTTTTATTTATTTTTTTGAGACAGAGTCTTACTTTGAGTGAGAATGAGTAGAGTGCTGTGGCATTTTGCCTCCACCTCTCAAGTAGCTGGGACTACAGGTGCCTGCCACAATGCCTGGCTATTTTTAGAGATGAGGTCTCACTTTAGCTAAGGCTGGTCTTGAACTCCTGAGCTTAGGCAATCCACTCACCTCTGCCTCCCAATTGCTGAGATTATAGGCGTGAGCCACCATGCCTGGCGCATTAGTAGTACTTCAATGAGACATTATATCATAGCCACAGTTCATATTTCAGAGTGAAAGGAAAAGATGAATCTAGGAAAGCAGAAAAAAGAATGTCAGAATTTATATATTCAAATCATTGCTGCCTTTCCCAGCAGTGTATACATGTTACCATTACTCAAAATATCTATTGGCTCTCATTTTTCAAGTAATAGCTTCAGAGTTTTATTTGCATGTGAACAAAGATGTCTTTATTCAACATGAATTTATTTGTGAATTCAGTTAGTAGTTCAGTTTTGGATTTTACATGATATCAATAATTAGTTTTCATGATATTTTTGACTTTGTGTAGCTGTAGCAACAAAATAATTATGAGTACTTTGTAGGTTAGTCTGCTAGAGAGATGGATTTTCTTTCAGTTAATAATCACTGGCTTGTTTTTTTTCCTAGTCAGCAGATAAGCAGCGAGCCCTTGAAGAAACCAAAGCGTACACCACCCAATCCTTAGCAAGTGTTGCCTATCTGATAAACACCTTGGCCAACAATGTCCTGCAGATGCTGGATATCCAGGCATCCCAGCTACGAAGGATGGAATCGTCCATCAATCATATTTCACAAGTGAGACTACACTATTTTTTGGTTTGCCTTTGAGGAACTATTTGATAATAAACATAGGCTATCTGTACTGGTGGCAGGTTTTATGTGAATTAACTGACATGTATGATTTGGAAAATAGAAAACCAATATTAGGTTGTGTTTTTTAAAATTTTTATTTTTTTGGTTGCTTATTGATTGTCTTTTTGTAGTGTTAGTTCTCTTCTAGAGCTAGTAAGCTCTAGAAGAAAACCAAGCCTACAATGTTCTGTTGTGTGATTTTGATAGGAAAGAACACTTTAAAGGATTCTATTGTGATTCAGTTATCATAGTAACATAATCAACCCTTAGTGAAAATTTGTCCAGTTTCTTGTAGCATTTTAACAGATTTCATACTTCTTTCTTTCTTTCTTTCTTTTTTTTTTTTTAGAGACAGAGTCTCAGTTTATTGCCCTCAATAGAGTATTATGGTGTCACAGCTCACAGCAACCTCCAACTCTTGGGCTTAGGCGATTCTCTTCCCTCAGCCTCCCAAGTAGCTGGGACTATGGGCACCAGCCAGAACGCCCAGCTATTTTTGGTTGCAGTTTGGCTAGGGCTGTGTATAAACCTGCCACCCTCTGTATATGAAGCTGGCGCCCTACCCACTGAGCCACAGGCACCACCCATACTTCTTTATTTTTTTTAAAAACATGATTTTGATAACTTGATGGCTTGTTTAAATTTTTTTCTGTTTGTAGGAGTTATGTTAACTGGGATGGTATTATAACTGCAATAATTAAAGACTAAGTTACTAGCAAACTTTATAAAACTATTCCTTATATAGGACTTTATTATTTTTTATTTTTTCCTGAGACAGAGTCTTAACTTTGTGACCCTTGGTAGAGGGCTGTGGCATCATAGCTCATAGCAACCTCAGACTCGGGGGCTTAAGTGATTCTCTTGCCTCAACCTCCCAAATAGCTGGGACTATAGGCACTTGCCACAATGCTTGGCTTTTTTTTTTTTTTTTAAAGAGATGAGGTCTTGCGCTTAAGCAGTCTACCTGCCTTGGCCTCCCAGAGTGTTAGGATTACAGGGGAGAGCCACTGCACCTGGTCCTCATTGTATAGAACTTTAAACAATAAATGTCAGATTTTTTCCATTATAAAAGTCATGTGCATGAAAATGGAGAAAAAGAAAAAAGTAGGGAAAAAAATACCTCTTTACCACTTCCTAAGCTTTTCACTATTAATATTTTGGTATATTTCTTTGTAATAACTTTCCTGGAAATAGTTTGTTTTTTTTTTTTGCAGTTTTTGGCCAGGGCTGGGTTTGAACCCACCACCTCTGGCATATGGGGCCATTGCCCTACTCCTTTGAGCCATAGGCACTGCCCAGAAATAGTTTTTTTTAGGTGTAGCTATGATTATAGTAGACATAGAATTTTGGGTTCTGTTCTGTTAAATTAGCAGTGAAACAAATGTATTTTTATGATGTTCTTAAGCGCTTCATAAACATTCTCAGTAACTGCATAATGTTGAATGTGTACATGTATGTGATAGTTTTCATAACTGTTCTTATATCCTATATTTTAGGGCCATATTAAATAATACTGTATTAAAAAACTAATTGCAAAATATGATTTTAAACATTAAAATGAAAAATGTTTTAATCTGCTTGCTTTTTTAGGAGAAATCTTTAAAGCTTTCTGTTCTTTGAACAATTTAGTAGTATTCAACATTCTATTTACTTTCAATTTTTTTAAGAGGCTGAGTCTAGATGTTGCCCAGACTTGGATGCAGTGATATGATCATAGCTTACTCTAGCTTTTAATTCTTAGCAATCCTTGAACCTCAGTGTTGTGAGTAGCTAAGACCCACAGGAATTCACCATCATATTACTGGTAATTTTGTTTTTTCTTTTTTTTTAAAGTTTTTTGAGAGATGGCATCTTGCTATGTTGCCTAGGTTTGTCTCGAACTCTGGTACTCAAGTGATCCTTGAACAAAGGCATGTAAAAGTGCTGGAATTACAGGCGTGAGCCACTGTGCCCAGCCTCATTTTCTTTAGATTTAAATTATTAGAACTCTTTGGAAATAAAAAGAATCTTAAAATGTGCGTATTGGCTGGGCATGGTGGCTCAGGCATGTAGTCCTAGTGCTATGGGAGGCCGAGGTAGGTGGATTGCCTGAGCTCAGAGGTTCAAGACCATCCTGAGCTGGAGCGAGTCAGAGTGAGACCCCATCTCTACCAAAAAAATCTGGGCGTTGTGGCGTGCACCTGTAGTCCCAGCTATGTGGGAGGCAAAGGGCAAGAGAATCACTAAAGGAAGAAAAGAAAAAAAATTAAAAAAACAAAAACAACAACTTCAAACTAAGATGAGTGAAAGCCAGTTGAAATTGAAAGCAAAATTAAAAAAAAAATAAAATGCATATTATCGTTCTTGATAAATTTTTTTTTTTTTTTTTTTGAGGAGGGGACAGTGTCAGTTTGTTGCCCTCGGTAGAGTGCTGTTACGTCACAGCTCACAGCAACCTCCAACTCTTGGGCTCAAGCGATTTTCTTCCCTCATCCTCCCAAGTAGCTGGGACTATAGGTGCCTGCCATAACACCCAGCTATTTTTAGAAATGAGGTCTGGATCTGGCTCAGGCTGGTCCTAAACTCATGAGCTCAGGTAGTCTACCTGCCTCGGCCTCCCAGAGTGCTAGGATTACAGGCGTGAGCTACGGTGCCTGGCCCCTGTTTGTTTTTAAAGAGGAAGGGCTGGCTCGGTGCCTGTAGCTCAAGCAGCTAAGGTGTCAGCCACATACATCACAGGTGATAGGTTCGAATCCAGCCTGGGCCTGCCAAACAACTGTTGCAGGAAGACGAGGCCCAATGAGAGAAAGAGCACCCACATACCACGTTTATAAGAGGAAGGGCGTTATTCACCAGCTGGGAGCTTATGGTGTAGAAGAATTCCAAATGGCCAAGCTCCCTAACTGTCCTGGTCTTTCCCTTTTTTAACAGTCAAAAAGTTCTACCCCACAGGTACCCTTCTCATTGGCTAGTTTGAATCAAGTGGGAGATACTATTCAAGCCTCTACAGAACTCCTTAAGTTCCAGGAAGTTAAGTTTACAAATTCCCAAGAGCTGAGTCACCATGGAGAGGACCCTGCAGGTGTATCCTTGTGAAGACCTGTTCTCCTAGACCTCACCCTTCTTGGGTATCCTCTCTCACGACAGTGACAACTGCATCCAAAAAATAGCTGGGCAATGTGGCGGGCACCTGTAGTCCCAGCTACTTGGGAGGCTGAGGCAAGAGAATCGCTTAAGCCCAGGAGTTGGTGTGAGCTGTGATGACATGGCACTCTACCCAGGGCGACAGCTTGAGGCTCTGTCTCCTCTCCCCCCTCCCCCAAAAGGAAGGGCTTTACTCCAGCCAGTGGAGTGATGGCAGACTCTGAGTCCCAAAATGGCTGCCTCTCTGACTGACTTAATCTTCTTTTTATCTCTAGTCAAAAAGTTCCAGCCCCATGGGTACGTTTCTCAGTGGTCAATTTGAGTCAAGCTGGAGAAATAGGATGGGCTTTTGCAGAAGTAAAAGCAAGGGCTAGTTTCTGGTTCCCAGGAAGTTAAGTTTTTACAAATTCCTAAGAGCTGAGTCACCATGGTGGAGGACCTCACAACTATGTCTTTGGGCCCTCCTTGAGAAGACCTCTGTTCTCTTAGACCTTACTTCCTTACTTTTTCTATGTATCCTCTCTCATTACCACCTTTGAGACTCCATATATATTTTAATTTGGGGTCTCATCAGTTTGCTCCTGTAGGAGCCAGTAGTGTTTCACATAGAATTCGTGTGGTGCAGTTGATTTTTTATTGACATCTATTCCGATTATCCAACGTATAGCCCTGACTACTAGTGGGAGTAGAAAAGGAATAATTAAGCAAACTCTGGTGATGGCAGGTACTCCCAGTAAGGTTTTAAATTTTCTGACAGTTGAAAACTAGTCTCTCCCACAGGTTTTGAGGGCTTTATGCGTTTCAAGTTTGTACTGGGACATTGGCCAATTCTTTTTTTTTTTTTTTTTTTTGAGACAGAGCCTCAAGCTGTCCCCCTGGGTAGAGTGCTGTGGCACCAAAGATCACAGCAACCTCCAACTCCTGGGCTCAAGCGAGTCTTCTGCCTCAGCCTCCCAAGTAGCTGGGACCACAGGCACCTGCCACAATGCCTGGCTATTTTTTGGTTGCAGCCATCATTGTTGTTTGGCGGGTCTGGGTTGGATTCGAACCCACCACTTTAGGTGTATGTGGCTGGTGCCTTAGCCACTTGAGCCACAGGCGCCAAGCCCACATTGGCCAATTCTGTTTTTTCTTTACTATGTGTCATATGACTTTTACTTGGTTATTAATTTGCAAGACTAGCTCCAGGGGTTATAGTGACCCACTGAGCAATTTGTTTCCACTACTTTCTTTTGAGCATGATATTTCTTTTGGTGCAGTCCTCACTGTTTCAGATGCCTTCTGTCATACATTTTCACCTTTCACATTTGACCTAACACCACTTTTCTATGAAATCTAGGGCGGCTCCTATGGCTCAAAAGGGTAGGGCGCTGGTCCCATTTGCCAGAGGTGGTGGGTTCAAACCCAGCCCCGGCCAAAAAATGGCAAAAATAAATAAATAAAGCTTATCTTTAATTAAAAAAAAAAAAAAAGAAATCTAAGGCACAGAGGTATTTCTGATCTGTCCTGTAGTTTCTTTCCTGCTTCCTTCTGCTGTCTTCATTAAACTTCAGACTCACCTGATTGGGCTTTCTTATTTCCCTGGTCTGGATTAACATTCAGATTTTGGGGACTGTGACTCCTCTCAGGTCTTCTACCCAGGCCTTAATTGTACTGTGGTGGTGGTGGGGCTCTGTGAGGTTGTAATATACATGTAACTTTTCACGTTTCCTTGTGTCACATGTTGAGTATTGTGTCTGATACTGAGTGCCAACTCCCTTCTGGGTGCTTTTGCATTCATAAAAGCTAGTCACCTGTTGTCCTATCTTAGTGGTGTGGGT